AGGCGCAGCAGAGGCGGCGAGCGGCCCCTGAGGGCGGGCCCCGCCGCCAGACTGGCATCGCCGCCTTCGCTGGCGCCGCCAGTGCGCGACAGACACTGCGTGAGGCCGCCGCCAGGCGGCTCCTGCGGGCACACCACGGCAGTGCGCCGCCCGAGGAGCCGCAGCAGGTGCAGATGCATGGCGAGGCATGGCCATGCAAAGCGTACAAGGCCTGCGGTTTCTGCAACAACTACTCGAGCAGGACGACGTGCTGGGCATGCGGCAGGGGCAGGGACGGCAGGCCCTCGACCGCCCCACAGCGGGCGCCAAGCCGCAGCAGGAGACCTCCTCCGCGCGGCGCCGAGGCGCCCTGGCGTGACTGTGATGATCTGGCTCATGCTGCTTCTCAGGCTGCTGGCGACGCAGCGGCACAGCAGTCTCCAGCAGTCAAGTCCAAGCGTGCGTGGCTGGCCTTACGTCGGATCTACGGTGACGAGCACGACCTGGTCATCGCCGCCAAGGCCGCCAATAGCAAGGAGGAGTCCGCCCTGCGGGCTCAGATGGACCCCTCCGACCTGCTCAGGAGCGCCAAAGACAGATGGGCTGCCAAGGAGTCTGAGCGTGCGGCCAAGGCCGCTCAGTTCGAGCAGATGTCCAACGAGCTCGCCGACGCTCAGCAGCAGCTCACCAGGCTCGAGGCCGAGACGACCAGCCTCAGTGTGGAGGTCGCCCATGCCCAGTCAGCAGTGGCGGCCGTGGCAGCTGACGGGACTCCCGCAATGGCTAACGTCTCCGTGGCCATCCAGCAGCTTCAGGCTGTTCTGGTATCGGCGCGCGCAGGCACGTCGAACATGAACGGCGCCAAGCTCCTCAGCACCATCGAACAGCAGGTCTCCAACATCGGCTCCCTGGCGACAGGAGCCCCACCACCGAGGGCATCGGCTCAGTCGCCTCCGCAGTCAGCCGCTTTTCGCTCCCCATTTCCAGCTCCACCAGCAGGACCTGGCACCCAGATGGCCGTCGAAGTTGCAGCATGGGAGAACGCGGGCGTCGACAGCTAGGAGGGCCCCACGAGGCTCAAAGCGCAAAGATATTGCAGCTGCTACCTTCAATGGTTCTTGTTGGGACACTTGCAGGACATTTTTGGCAGAAGGTACGACAGGGGTCAATATTGTGTGCGCTCAGGAGTTGAGACTCGACGGGGAGCGTCTGGCGCAGGCGCAATTTTGGGCTCGACGCAACGGTTGGCAGGCTTTCGTCACGCCCTGCCGCAGATTACCTACAGGCATGCCTAGTGCTGGCGCAGGGATCTTTGTGCGCTCTCACTTACCAGCCACCGTCGTCGAGGGACCCGATGGCAAAGCAACCCATGACATTACACCAGCTTGGGCAGTGGTCATACACGTTGATGTGGGACCTACTGGAGGGTTGCTGGTGGGATCTGTCTACATGGAGAATGCGCACACTACCGCCTACCTCACAGCCAACTACGGGCGCTATTTAAACTTGGCACAGTTTCTCAGATACATGAACAAGCCCTTCATCATTGCGGGGGACTGGAACATCAGCCCCCAGGACTATCAGCAGATGGGCTTGCCTGAAGTACTTCCTGCCGCTCTTCTCTACACCGAGGAGGAGGGCACATGCCGCACCTCGAAGGGCGACTACCACAACATTGACTACTTCATCACGTCCCCTGGCCTCGAGACGGCATGCAGACCGCCTACAACGATGGCGACGTGGCCAGCACGACCTCACAAGCCAGTCATCACCTATGTCAAGGCCAAGCCGAAGGTCATACAGATTCTCAGCATCAGAGCCCCAAGGGCTCTGCCCAAAGGACCCCCTGCCACGGAGGGCTGCCATCCTCTACATGGGCCGATCCCCACGCCAGACTACCTGGACATTGTGGACAAGGATGCAGAGAGAGGTCCCCCAGCTTCCAAGGAGGAGGCAATCGGCCGCATGGATGCCTTATACGGCCAGTTTATTTCGCATGTCGAAAACGAGCTCATCGGCATCTACCAGGTGGACGATCCAGATTCCTATCGGGGACGTGCAGATGGGGCCCAATACACCTGGCGCCCGATTGGAGGTCCCAAGACTGGTCCACACCCACCTGGAGGCAGTGAGCCGCGATTTCTCCGCGCGGTGGGCCAGGCGGTCCATGACCTGGTCGCCGACTTCCTCGTCGACTTCGGCGTCACCTCGCTGCAGCAGCTGGCGGATACCCACCCCTGCCCTACCAATACAGGGCAAACCTCTGCAGATGACGGTCTACATCATGATCCTCAGCCTTCACCTTCGCCATCGACGACGGCCGCGGCGAGCTCGGTTCCACAGGTGGATCTGGGCGTTTGGAAGCGCCTGGCCGTCCCTGGCGCTATGGGAAGGCCGCCACCCCCTGGTGACGAGGATCAGGACGACGCCGAGGAGGAGTTCAGGGAGGCAGTAGCAGCGGGTGCCACCCGATGGGTGCCTGACCTGTCGGACGCGGGCTCGGGGGGACGCTCATGGCGTGGATGGTGCATCCCCTACGTGATGGAGTGTTTGCGCCTACCTCAACATACTGCGTGGGTAGCAGCCGCCCACACGGACAGCAATTTCAACTCGATACGCGAGCTCGCCGAGGACATCTGCAACGACGCTTGGGGTCGCTCCTCCGAGAACCGAGCTGCCATCACCTCCTACATGGACTGGCTGGCCATACACGACATACCACTTGGGCGACACATGATCAGCCAGCACTGGGACGAGCTCGAGGAGATCAGGAGTGAGATGAGGAGACTCCTGGGCGACAGGCCGTTGCCCGACCTCCTGCCCTACTACGATGACCAGCAGAGCGCCTACGAGGGACAGCATCACTCTCATAGGAGTCAGGCTTTGCCTTCCTCTGATGTCGCCACTTTTACCAGGGGAGTGCGCCAGAAGGTCTCCCAGGATCCCAGCCCTTCTCAAACGTCTGGTCCTGCCCTGGCCACGGCGCCACCACAAGGTCCTACTGGTGGAGTCGAGCTCTTGGGTTCCAGGGGCCCCCAGGGCCCGTTCGGAGGACAGAATAATCTGGCGAAGAATGCGTGCAGCATATCGCCCCGCACTGCCCCAACACCACGGCGCCGAGCACGCTGGACTCATCTCGCCAGACTGCTTCGCCCAGGACATAGGCAGGACGTACGCACCGCCGAGGGCATCCAGTATTTCGATGGCGCCTGGGACATCATCCACCTTGCCTGCAAGCAGCCTCCCCTGCAGTGCCTCCTGTGCCTCCAGGCCTTCGGCAACATCATCATGCAGCACGTCGACCAGCTCGACAGGCAGGAAGGCTGGCATAGAGTTCGCAAGTTCAAGTCCTGGGCACGAGATGCGATGGTCACTGGCCCTGCGCAGGTATACTCGATCACCAGAGTGCAGCCGTGGGCACATGCGCAGATCAAGCAGGGGAAGACCACGACGTCGCACCAGCAGGCGATCGCAGACAATCAAATGGACAGCTGGAGAAATATTTGGGAGGGGGTGCGCCGTGATGAGGCAGACCTTCCGCGATCGCTCGCTGATCATGAAGATCTAGACCTCGCGGCAGCGAGTCGCCACCCCCCTCCTGCGGTCCTGCCCGTTCCGACGATTGCACATACGAGAAGGGCAGCATCAACATTCAGGTGGCGCACTGGACTGGGAGCTGACGCACTTCCACCCCGTGCACTCTCCCTGGTATCGGACGATGCCTTAGCCATGCTGATCTACATATACTGGGCTGCTGAAGCTTGGATGCGCTGGCCGACGGTCATGCTCAACGTCCACATCATGCTCCTAGCCAAACCACAGGGAGGGTTTCGCCCAATTGTTCTACTACCAGCGACGTATCGCATCTACACGAAGCTCAGACTTGCTCAAGTTCGGATATGGATCTCACAGAACACCAGACCTTATTTCGCGTTGGGCACCCACAAATGTACACTTGACGTGGGAGCGCGCACCATGATTCATGCTGAGGCCTATGCTCGGGATAAGCAAAGGGCCACCACCACGACGCTGGTGGACATCAGCAAGTGCTTCGACCGAGTTTGTTGGCGCCGAGTGCTGCAGGCTGCTAAACACTACAGGTTTCCAACACAAATCCTGCAGCTGTGTCTGGCGATGTACTACGCTCCGAGGAGAATTAAGTGGACTACTTCCTTCTCCTACTCGTGCCAAGTCAGCAGGGGAGTGCTCCCAGGATGTTCGATAGCCATGTTCCTGCTGCAGCTGGTAATGATGCTGCCTGTCGACGTGTTCGAGAAATCCTTTGCCAACACAGACGAGGTACACCACTCGCTGGACATATACGCGGATGACATCACGATCCAGGTGGTGACCACGTCGCAGGACATTGTCTACCAGACGGTGCGCATCCTGCAGAGGCTTGCAGCAGTTCTCAAGGCCCTTGATCTTCCTATTGCTCAGGACAAGGCGAAAGTGGTGGCATCAGATTTTGTTATTGCACAGCAGGTTACGCAGCAGGTCCATCGGCACGGATTTCGGCCTTACAGAACTCTGGAGGTACTGGGCATGGAGGCTAAAGGCGGGCACAGACTGAGCTTCGAAACGATTCGCAAGAGGGTACACAAGATGAAGAAAAGAATCCCGCGCTTCAAGAGGCTCAGTGGTCTTGCCAAGATCGGCCGTGCGGTGGCGCAGCCATGCATTGCCCCCGCCATGCAGTACGGCATCCAGATCGTCGGCGCCACCAAGACGCTGATCAAGTCGATGGTTAGCACGGTTCGAGTGGGTTGGCTGCGCACTCCTCCAGGCACCTCA